TATATTGAAAACACCAGACAAACATACTGCATGACACAAAGCATCAGTGTAAAGTCTGAAACAAATGCTTCATGGTGGATTTTTGCAGTTTTACAGTTGAAACACTCATTCAGTAAACTCTCAAAAAGTAGGATAAGACTACAAAAATGGGGTCCAGATTGTAGATTGAATGTTTTTATTGAGTCAGTAAAATATTAAATATTGTTATTACTATATTATATTATATATAATCCTTACATATCTACACTTGCAACTAAGATTCGCATGGGTGAATCATCATTCCCTTCATTTATGTTAACTCTTAACACAGATAATCTTCTTGATAACTAAGAAATCATGAAAATTTAACAGTCTAATTTCAAAATGATTATATTACACTCTTTCACTGATAAATATGTCAGAACACACTCTGACATTCTGCATTATCAGATTTCTCAGTTTCACTTTTAGTGAATGACAACTCCTGGTTGAGTCATGAAACCAGTTGCAACTGGTTGCGCAGGCATCATCGTCCCTCCTGGCTGGACAGTTGGAATAGGCTGCATGTTGATGACAGTGTTATTGTGTAAGTTGATGACAGTTGGTGTGTTCTTGCGATGCTTTAACTCGCGATGCATCTGACACCAGGAGCACCATTCGCAGAAACAGGAAATTGCAATGTCCTTACAGAGAGAGCCCTGCAGAAAGAGAGTACAAGCATTACAGATGTGGTGTAATTCAGGTGGAGGAGCAGGTCATCTACCAACCAGAGGTTTGGTAGATCAATCCCTGGCTCTTCTGGTCCGCATGTCACAATATCCTTGCAGCAGATACTGAGTATGTGTGTGAATGTTTGACCAAAAACATTTAGGCATAGTTGAAATTAAATATGGATGTTTTTGATTCAGTGAGTGAGACTTGTAATTCCCACTAAAGTCCAGCTTTGAGTTCAGTGTCATCATCTCACGGTTCATACCTTGATGCCATATCTGTTTCGCATGGCAGCTCTTATAGACAAAACTGCAGGAGGAACACAAACAGGTATCCCAAAGACTGCTAATACACCAGAGCCACATATATCACATAAAGGGAGACAGTTGTTCTCTCCAAATCTTCCTGAAACAGTGCAGGCGAGACAGGGACAGCACCAGAATCCATAGCAGCCTGAAAAACACAGAAACACATCAATAAAGTAGTAACAAGTCTCAAAAGATGAAGGCAATACAAATAAGGAAAAAACCTGTAGTCCTGAAAACACAAATACAATTCATGAGACAAATTTAACTGGCTTCTTACAAGTATTTGTATCCTCAAAGCAGTCAAGGAGACCACTGTCCCAGTCTGTCAAGGGTTTTTCTGCCATTGTATGTTGAACTTCACCCACAGACACTGAACGATCACTCTGTGAATGTCGAGAAGCAGGAAAACAAAATAAAACAACAAAATAAAATGAAAAT